TAGCTCTGATACCAATAAATATAACCCCCTCAGACCGATGTGGATAGCCCGATCCGATCTGGAGTGTCACATTAGGGCCACCAGAGCGACCCACTGTAAAAATAGCGGAAAATTTAAAACTTTTCTTAAAACATGTAAAATCATAAAATGATTTATTATTATTCGGAAATAAAACAGGTTATTCAAACTCATATATAAAACAAAATACAATTTACATGCCCCCTAAACACATGTACCATCCTCTAAAAGCAATGCTGGAAGAACTCCCTTACTGATGTTGATAGCTGCACTGGTACGATTCTTTTAACTTGTAATGGTGAGTAATAGAGTGAGCTTCGAAAAGCTCAATAATACAGAACTACCAAGTGATGCTAAAGGACATGCAGATAAATGAAAAGCCACATAGTTTCCTTCTTAAATCAGACGTATACAATTTTTCGGTAAATCTGAGGTTCCACTAGTAGTTTATCGATTTGAAGCCATGAAGATCACAGTTCGTAGCAACCATTCAAAGTATGACATTTTTAGGAGATCGAATAGGATGTATAATGTGTTCCAACAGTACCATAAAATCATGATAGGTACACTGATCAATTGATGGTTCAGTAAATCTCATAAACCATATTGTAGTCGAGCTTTTTAAACTCGTAGTTTAAAACCATCGTATAAAGAGTAAACCTAATGGAACATCTTAAGGCCTGAGAGCCTACCCAAGAAAGTTCGAGGCCACGGAGCCTACCTAAGAACACATCTTAGGGCCACAGGGCCTACCCGAGAATGATCTCAGGGCCGCAGAGCCTACCTAAGAGTCACATTAGGTCCATAAAATTTTCCAGCTTGATTAGAGCTATACTTTACAAATATGTATCTCCAAGATACAATTTATACCGTGATACAAATACATAAGCCATCACCATTAAGTCGGTGCATCATAAAACAATAACCATAAATTTCAGTGTACCTCATGTTAAAACAATAAAACAATTTATTAAAATATATGGAACACACTAAAGAAATCCCAATATTTATCAGAGGCATTTTGCAGTTATCAACATAGTAAAATGAAACTGATGTCTTTTGATCAAATCCCAAGAACGAGGTCCTATTAAAAAGGAGTCAATTACTATTCGTTCAAATCATACATTAAAATCGATACTTTAGAATTCCACTATGGTTCAAGTGTATTAGGAAAGTGTTCATGAACATTCATACAGATGAATTATAGATTCATATTTATGGAGAGTAATTTCATTACTCAAGAATGCTAGAATATACAAAATCCTTTGCATCCGAGTTACTTGTGTGAATCAGACATGATCGGAGTGATTTGAGCTGATAAAGGAGAAACGAAGATTCAGGTATTTACCATTTATATTGATCGATTAGATTATCAAATAACTTGAGTTGAACAACTCTCAGAACTGATGCCTGTCGACTGGTCAATTCATTGCCCTTCCTGGTATTCACTCTATAATACCAACAATTCTTGTCCATAAATCATCTTCAGAATTACTATCGAATAAGTCTTAAGGAGACAAACAAATATTCCAATGGTCTTTACTTCATTACCACATTTCAACTATATCTGACAATACTGACGTACTTTATTCATGGTTCATGACCCATAAGGACAACTCATCAAAAGTAAATTCAACAGTGTTTCCAGATTCATCCAAATCACTTATTTAATCCTCAGTCATTGAGGTTACTTAGTTCATTTAACAATCACGTCTATCCCGATTACTTCAGAGTTTTTTTCGGAGTAATACAGACACTTCTGAGTTTCGGATACATGTTGTACTTCCGTTCAGTTCACTTTGGTCAAATACTAAAATCATTTTGGTATTCGTGATTGATTTATCTCACGAATATCCATTTCTTAATATCGAATGCGCTTTAGAGTTGAGCTAAGCTGAGTACTTTCATAATTATCATCAATCCAAACTTGAGAAGATGAACTAGCATTCAAGTGGTACCTATGCCATTCAAGTACTAATAGAGCACTAGCATTGTTTGACCAGCTTAAATTGCATTTCATAACATTAAAGAACAGTTCAACATCCATGTTTATTTGAATTTCTTAATTAATCCAAGACATTTACTTAGTATAGACCATAAGGGCATTTTGGTCTTTTTGGTGCTCAATGTTTTCCAATTCATTTCAAAGCTTGAGGATATCTATTCATTCTTGAACTTCGTGATATTCTTGTGTTATTTCCATTACAAGGGTATTTTGGTCATTTTATAGATCCCACGTATTTTAATCAGTTCATTTCTTCCGATCTTATTATTTAATTCAGACTTATCATCTATTCCATTCTATACGAGCAATTCTGACATAAGAGCACCCTCGATAATTTATTCTTCAGGTACTTACTCAAAACTCGAAGATTTCAAGTTAAATACCTTCTCAGATGTTACTAACGAATTATCAGAAATTTCCATACAAAAATAGGATCTCAACAAGTAAATCAGTAATTTATCGAGTTAAAAATGAATCCTCAAAGTACTTCCCGAACATTTTTTGATTTCAAAATGATTCCTTAACAGACTTCTGGTATCTTGCATAAACCCTATTGGGTTAAAAATCGGTTATCCAAATTTTCTAAGCAAACTAGCATTTCTTATGCACATCTGTAATTTTATCAGATGAATATATCATTTCAGAGTTATTAATAATCTTTCAGGGACAATTCTTGTCATTTACAATATAAGGGTATTTCCATAATTTTACCCTACCAAAATATTCTTATAATTTCTCATCCAAGTACCTTTGATGAAATAAATTATATGTTACAGATCCAAGTTGCTTCCTTTATCACTATACACATAACTTGAAATTTTTAATTCTAACAGTCCATCAATTTCTCATAAAAATCATCTGAACCATAATCAGTTACCGAATTTTTATCGTATTCGGATCGAGTGTAGAAATTAATTAACTACACATATGAGACCAATATTATTTTATTCATGCATTTACCAATACCAACATGTTCCATAAAGCATAAAGAGGTAGTAAAGTATTACCTCGATTTTTGTGACATACTGATCGACCATAAAAATTCCATTCGAACGCCCTCGATCTTGAAATCATCTTCCAATATTTCCTCAGATGCATATCAACAGAAATTACATCAAAAACTGAGCTTAATTTCGAAACGGATCGAATCGGGTGATAAATCAGTCAAAAACAGCTTATCGGGTTCGAATTTGGTGAAACGGACTTCGGATTCAGATTCAAGACGTCGAAAGCATAAAATATGACTTTTCAAAAATTTAAAATTTTTGGGTGAAAATCAAAGTCAACGGGTTTGACTGGCAATTTTGAGGTCTTCAGGTCCGAATTTCGAAAAACGGATTAAGGAATCGGATTTGGAACGTCGAAAAACATCAGGATAGGTATACTCAGTCAAAGTCAAAGGTCGTTTAATGCCCGATCAAAGCCGGTCAAAGTTCTGGTCAACTGTGGTCAACGACGGTCAACGGTCAACGGTCGACCATTCAACACAAATATCACCCTAACAGAAATTAATTACCAAATTAGCTACATTCTGCAAATATTTACTAAACTAACACCCAAATTTTGCACAAATAGCACCAAAATATAAATTAATTATAAAATTATTACCCAGACAATGCCCACTTTCGGGGGGGTGGCGCGTGCGGCGCGTGAAAAGTAACCCGGTGTCGATAAATTCCCGAAAAAATTCCTAAAAATTATTTTAAGGGATTTTGAGGCACTTACAAATATTGGTTCACAATTTTGAATGGCGGAGAGCTCGTTTCTGAAACGTCAGAAACTTTGACAGTCTCACCTCTCCACACGCCGGCGACGACGAAAAAACAGAGAACATTTATAGACTCGAAACGATGCAAGGAACACGATGGTGCGGGAGGTGTCGTAAACGGATGACCGGATCGTCATGAATCGACGAAAAACCAACTGAAATTGAGTTATTACCGACGATACTTCCAACTGAAATTAACGACGAACGACGATGATTCACAACGAAAGGTTTGAGGGATTTTGTTCCTCGATCGACAACGAACATGACGGTGGTTTTGGTTCGTCAATCGGAGATCGGACGACGAGTAGATCGGAGTAGAAAGTTGTTGACCGGAAGAGGAAATATGAACATTTTTCTGCATAAATACACGGGAAATGGGGGGTTATATTATCTCCTAAAGAAAAATGGTCAAATCATAAGTTTAGTCACTGAATTTCCTGTATTTCTTATAACGATTAGCCAACTTTGAAATCTTACAATTTAATTCTCAATTTTCTTCCAAATTACCAATTAAATCCAATACTTTATAATTTCTAAAATTTAGCTCCTAAATTGGGGTGTTACAGAAAGAAACATGAAAACAAGAATTTATGTTTTGTTGTTGAGAAACGAATAGAAAAAAGGAAATAAAAAATTTTCCAAGATTGATCTGTAAGCTTGTTGTATCCTATGTTTCTTTTCTCCCTTTCTGGGTTTACTTTTGTGGGACTGATTTGATGATCTTGGGGCTTGTAGTGAATGGAAAATACGGAGAGGGAATATAATTACTAACTTAAAGAAATCCTCGATGTATCATCATTAGAACAGAAAGGACTAAATGGATCATTTTAAACTGTATGAACATGATTATTCTAGTTTCTTTGTTTGACTTTTCCTATGTGATTATCACGTTAGTTCAGTTTTTGTCCCATCCTGTTCACCACATTTGTCTTAGATACCGAAAGATTTTTGGGTTTTGCAAATTGAGTATGGATTTTACTTGCAATTTTCAATTTGAACTAAGTAATACTCTTGATTCATGTGCTTCAGATGAAGCTTTAATGTAAAAAGAGCCTTTCAAAGATACTTCAGGTTATTCTGCATGATTTAGCATTCTTTCTCCACTATTGCATGTTTGATTTTATTTCTCCCCGAATATGAATGATTCCTTATGTATTGGAACCTCACAGGTATTGTTGGTTTGGTGGATTGTATCAACAAATTTCCAAAATGGCAACACGTACTGTTGGTTTGATTCAAAATCAAGATTTAAATGCTCGGTTCAATGGTACTATTCTCAACACTTTCTGATATGTTGTTGGTTTTGTTAATTTTGTTTCTCAAGTTGAGTTTGATAATGGAAAATGCTTCCTATCAGGCAAGACCAATGTCTCTAAAGCACAGAGGAAAGGTGGTATTGGTGGAAGAAAACCACTTGTTGATCTATCCAATTCAGTGAAACCAACCCCAAACCAGTCATCAAAGAAGGAGAATGCCAAAAGCATTCCATTCATTGAGAAAGAGATTGGTATCTTTAATCCCACACATGATTCAAGCAAAACAAAGAGTGTCTATAAAGCTGAGAAAGTGCAAGCAACTGGCAGGAAAGCTCTCTCTGACATTTCCAACTCAGGTAAGCCATACTCGCAAGGACCATCAAAGAATAACCAAAAGGCAAAGTTGGGTAATCTGGAAGAGGATCGATGTCAACTCGAAGATATTGCAGAGGAAGGGTGTCTGCATAATCATGAAGATTGCATCAAAACACAAAAAAGAGCTATAAGCACTAATGAATTTTTGCGGATTCTTGGATTAGATGGTAAAGAAATTTGCTAAGCATTCATATGTTTACTTTGCGTTAATATTTTATGACTGAATACTCACACCTTTGTATGCATGTTTTTTGTTCAGATTTCTCCAAACATTCAGCATCTGCAAATGAATATTCATTGTCAAACATATTGGAGGTAAAACATTCAAAACATTTTAGCTGTCTCGTAGCTTTAGCATATGCATTGTCTTAAGAATACTGGTTTTACTTATGTTACAGCCTATGAGTCCCCCAAGGTATGCCGAATCGAACAAGATGACTGTGATGCTGATTGAAGAGCCATCTCCTCCAAAACATACGTTGTTAAGAAAATTCGACTCTTTTGCAGCTAGTCCAGAGCCATTGGAACACCATATGCAGTGGGATGATCCTAAGTACATTCCCAGTTTTAAGCTGCTGAAAGAATCACCATAATGGTGAAAAGCATTGCTTTTGCTATTAGCAGTAATCCATGTATGACAATTTCTTTCATTGCAATTTTGTACTGGACTGCAGTTGTTTTGCTAGTAGGAAAACTGTAAAAAAATGGCAACTTGAGTTGCATTCAGGTTCAGGTTTGAGATGAAATGAAAGCTCGTTGTGTAACACCCCAATTTAGGGGCTAAATTTTAGAAATTATAAAATATTAAATTAAAGTGATATTTTGTAAAAATAAAAAATAAATGATCTTAATTGTAAATTGTCCTTCTTTAGTTTTGGGATATTCTAGAATTTACGTGAAATTTTATCTTTTTGATTGATGGGAATTTTATAACCTGGAAAATAGAGAACCACACAAATGGAATATATTTTTTTTAAAGATAGACCAGTTATAAAACTAAGAAATGGGAGATTAGAAAGCAAAGCCATAACTCTTGGTAGATCGGCCTTCCTCCAACACCGACGATACAAATCACCATGAAGCTCATTCAAAATCCAATGGCCAACATCGTGAGCTCCACTTCATGTACCTTTTCTTCACCTACGAAACCACCATTAACAACTATAGGTACATCAACCCAAGATTAAAAAAATATGAAGAAACCCCATTTCCCTTTGCTTGCAGTGCTTCTCCTTGTTTTCATAACTTGTTCGATTCTCTACAATGAATTCAACTTTCAAAAAATCCATGAAAGCCTGGATCATGGTTCTGCTCACAGCACTCAATGAACTTCATTTACTTTGTGAATCAAATATTCCCAATGGAGCGTCATGTTTTTGGTTGATTCAATATCTACAACTCCATTAAGGGCTACAATGGGAAGAAAATCTGGCGAGCGGATCCGAACGCAGAATCAGGTTGGCGACGGAGTACAAGGCAAGAGAGATGTGATATGTTCTTCGACAAATGGGTATTCGATAACCAATCTTAACCGCTTTACCAAGAGTCGGACTGCATGTATATGTCGGACCAGTTAGATTGTCATAAGCATGGACAGTCTGATATGCAATATCAATATTGGACAGGACAGCTTCACAACTGCAATTTGAAGAGGTGGAATGTTTATGAAATGTTAAAGAAATGGAATTGAAACGTTGGGAAAATGGGGTTATGATACCAACAGGAAAATCACGTGGGTGGGACTAGAAAATAAAGTGGAAAAAAAATCACATCATGTCCTCCAGGTTTGGTAAGAACATGGCCTTGTTTCCTAGTTTCCATTAATTTTAGTTTATGGCCCAATAGTGAAAATTAATTATTTTCAGTCCCTAATTTTAGTGACTAATTTTTAAAGTAGCCCCAGAAGTATTCTATTATACAAATTGGGTTTCCAAATTATTTTCTCAATTCTAATAAATTATCTTTATGGCGAGGGAAATTATTTGGATACGAGTTAGTAATTTTGATGGTCTGGATTGTGAGGAATTATTGGAAGTTGATTTCAAGATCGAGGACGTTCGAATGGAGTTTAAATGGTTGATCAGTATGGCACGAATATCGAGATAATACTTTACTACATTTTCATGCTTTATGGAACATGTTGGTATTGGTAAAAGCATGAATAGAAATGTTTGGTCTCATATGTGTAATTAAGGAAGTTCTACACTCGATCCGAATACGATAAAAATTCGGTAACCGAATAATGGTTCAGATGACTTTTATAAGAAATTGAAGGATTCTTATAATTAAATTACAAGTTCTATAGTTAGTGATAAGGAATCAGCCCTGAATGAACTTATATTTATATCATCAAAGGTTAAACGTTAATGGTACTTGGATGAGAAATTATGAGAATACTCTGGTCTGGTAAAATTACGAAAATACCCTTATATTGTAAAATGTCAAGAATTATCCCTGAAAGTTAATTAATAACTCTGAAAGGATATATTGATATGATGAAATTACTGATGTGCATAAGAAATTCTAGTTTTGCTTGGAATATTTAGATAATCGGTTTTTAAACCCAAGAGGATTTGGGCAAGTCTGTTAAGTAATCATTTCAAGATCACAGAATGTTCGGGAAAACAATTGACCATAGGATCTCTAAATTATAATTATTTTAGTTAAGAGTTAATACCTAAATTTAATTTGTTAAAAAATTACAAAAATGCCCTTGAAAGGTCAAAATAGTTCGAGTTGACTCTGAATGGGAAAGTAACATGAGACTCTATACTTAAACCGATAAATTACTGATTTGATTGTTTAGATCCTACCTTTGTATGAAAAATCTCTGATAATTCGTCAGTAGCATCTGAAAGGACTTTTAACCTGGAAATCTTTGATTTGAGAATAAATTATCAAGGGTGTTCTTTTGTTAGAACTATTAAAAAAGGACTAGAAAAGATGATACGTTTGAATTAAATAATAAGATCAGATGGATGGAAATGATTAAAAAACATCAGATCTGTCATAATAGTTTGATGGGACTGACATAAATGATAAGTTTGAATTTAATAATAAGATCTGACGGAATGAATTATTGGACTACAATGGATATGTAAAATGACCAGAATACCCTTAGAATGAAAATGACCCAAGAATATCACCAAGCCCAGGAATGAATGGTTATCCTCAAGCTTTGAAATGAATAGAAAAGCATCACCAAAATGACCAAAATACCCTTATGGACTATATTAAGTAGATGTTTTGGATTAATTAAGGAATCCAAATAAATATGGGTGTTGCACTACCCTTAAAAGTTATGGAACACTGCATAAGTAAGTCAACCAACCAAAATGATATGTTAGTACCTGAATGACATAGATATCACTTGAATGTGTGTTCGTCTTCTCAAGTTTGAACCGATGATAATTATGGAAGTACTTAGCTCAGCTCAACGCTAGAGTGCATTCGATAGTAAGAAATATATATTCGTGAGGTAAATCAACCATTAATACCAGAATGACTTTATTATATGACTAAATTGAACTGATCAGAAGTACAATATGTATCTGAAATTTAGAAACGTCTGAGTTACTTTGGAAAACTCTGAAGTAACCAGGATAGACTTGATTGCTAAATGAACTACGAAACCTCAGTGACTGAGGATTAAGTAAGTGATTTGGATAAGTCTAGAAACTATGATGAGTTTACATAATGACATATTCCTATGGGTTATGAACCACAAATCAAGTACGTCAATATTTCCTTATATAGTTGAAATATGGAAATGAAATAAAAATCAATAGAATATAAGTTCGTCTCCTTAAGATCAATTCGATGATGATTCTGAAGGTGATCAATGGACAAGAATTTGTTTGTATTAATGGGTGAATACCTTGGAAAGGCATTGAATGGACCTGTCAACATGCATTAATCAGAGAGTGGTGTAACTCGAGTTGTTTGATGATCTGATCGATCAATATAAAGGATATATGTCTTGAGTCTGCGTTTTCTCCCTTATTAGATCAAATCACTCCGGTTATATTTGATTTGTACAAGTAACACAGATGCAAAGGATTCTGGATACTCCAAATTGGTTGAGTAATGGAACCACTCTCCATAAATTTGAATCTAAAATTCATTCGGTATAAAGGTTCCTGAACACTTTCATGATGCTCTTGAATCATAGTGGGATTATAAAGTATCGATTTAAATGTTTGATTTGAACGACTAGTAATCGACTCCTTTCAATAGAACCTCGTTCCTGAGATCTGATCAAAATACATCAGTTTCATGTTATCTATGATGATAACTATAAAATGACTCTAAAAAGTACTTGGATTCTCTAGTGTGTTCCTATTTTTTTTAATAAATTGTTTTGTTGTTTTAACATGAGGTACACTGAAATCTATGGTTACTGTTTTATGGATGCACCTATTGAGTAGTGATGGCTTATGGATTTGTATCACGATATAAATTGTATCTTGGAGATACATATTTGTAAAGTACAGCTCTGATCAAGATGGAAAATTTTTATAGACCTAATGTGACTCTTAGGTAGGCTCTGCGGCCCTGGGATCATTCTCGCGTTGGCCCTGCGACCCTAAGATGTGTTCTTAGGTAGACCCCTTGGCCCCGAACTTTCTTGGGTAGGCTCTCAGACCCTAAGATATTCCCTTAGGTTAACTCTTTGTACGATGGTTTTAAAATACGATTTTAAAGAGCTTTACTACAGTATGGTTTATGGGATTTACGGAACTATCATTTGATTAGTATACCTATTATGATTTTATCGTACTGATAGAACACACTAGACATCCTATTTGATCTCCTAAAAATGTGATACTATGAACGCTTCCTATGAACTGAGATATTCATGACTTCTACTCGATGAACTACTAATGGAACCCCAAATTGTTCTGCAATTGGTATACGTTTGATCCAATAAGGAAATTATATGGTTTTCTAATTATCTGTATATCCTGTAGCATCAATTGGTAGTTTTGTATTACTGAGCTTTTCGAAGCTCACTCTATTACTCACCATTGCTGGTTAAAAGAATTGTACCAGTACAGCTATCAACATCAGTAAGGGAGTTCTTCCGACGTTGTTTGCAGAGTCAGGTACTTGTGATTGGGGGCATGTAATGGTATTTTGTTTTATATACAAGTCTGAAAATCTGTTTTATTTTTAAATACTGATAAATCATTTTATAAGTTACATGTTTTTAATAAAACTTATAAAATTTTCGCTATTTTTACGATGGGTCGCTCCGGTAGCCCAAATGTTACACTCCATATCGAATTGGCATATCCGTATCGGTCTGAGGGGGTTACATTTAGTGGTATCAGAGCCAGGTTTGAGTCAAATTTTTCGTGTTTGACTGGCCGGTCGAATTTCAAAAGATGTCTGATAAGTACATGCCCCTAGAATACAATCCTACCTCTCTAAGCTGGAACACCAAAGTTGAGTCCCTATCTGTAACGAGTAAACTTAAGTTTTCTAGCCGTTATGACTCTAATATTGTATAAAGGAATATCAATAACGTCTGTCTAAATTCTGTAAAGTTCCTTACGAGCCATGTGAGAGTTACTCATCTGAGAAATTCTGACCCGACTCCGGAAAAGAAATTGGGAGATGCTACTGCTCTATGATCGCATTCTCGTAACCAAGACTGAATTGATTTCTCAAGGATATTTTCGTTCGGAATCTTTTATTGGAATAAGGAAAGTTCTGATAAGAATGTATGCTCAACTGGTTAAGGATTAGTGG